TTTGTTTTGATCATGTAAAACAAAAATGTTCATTCTGATGTGAGCAAATTTGTCAGAAGTAAACAAAGTGCCAAGTCTGGGCTGAATCACTCCCTTGACTATGAACACCTACAGAAAACATTTAAAAAGATCCTGAAAATTCATATAGAAATCCAGTTTTTATCTTATAGGAGAAACAGAAATCCTCCTAAATATTCCAACCCTGCTTCTACCTAGCAACTTAAAAGAAGAAGGAGAATTAACCTTTTGCAGCAGTACTGATATAAAAATTTTTCACTAATTACAGATATAACATTACCCTCCAGAAAATGATGCGCATGACCTAAGATGGCAGTTACCTTGATAATATCAAACCAGCTACACATGAATGGAGGGAAAAAACAAGAAAGTAGGAAAGGAAGTATCTCAGTAGTTTGATGAAAACATCAGTATGGAGAAACGTGCAGTGAGACTGACCTATGGTTGTCTGGGGCGTGTAGCAGTTTCTTACCCATCCACTCAGCCTGTCTCCTGCCTGCTGCTCCTTTCAAAGGAGTGAGGGCAGATGAAGGGCAGGAGGACTGAACCCGTTCAAGAATGTCTCACCTTTCAGAAGCGCACTAAGCAAGTTCAACTACAGTTTAAACTTGTTGGTAGAAATGTGTATTAATTTTCAGTCCATAAACGAACACTTGAAACATACTAATTCTTCATGCTACTTCTATTCCTGAGAACATTTTCTTTTTTTAAGAGACATCCAGAAAAATTCCAGCAAATACCAGTTCATACTATATATTCCATAAAACTGGCACAAGGGCTCAAATATAGTAGATGTTTTCAGCAATACAGGATGTGGGCTCTTCATACAAATGTTAGTATTGTATAGCCTGCCTTTCAAAACAGTCCAATTCCTTGTGCAACTTGCCTTTGCACCAGAGAGAACTGCTGGTCACTGTTTCAGATGCCAACTCTAGAACAAATACATAGGTAGCAGTGTCCCTGGAAAGTGTTTTTTTGGCACATTCCTCCCAGGGGTCCCACTTTCTTAAGTCTAAGAGGTATTTTCAGTTCCTTGGCCTACCAGTGCTATTACTAGAAAACAAAGGTTAACAAACTTACAGGCAAAGTCATTACTGCAGGAGTCAATATTATTTCTAAGGTACTTTGGACTACAGTTGTTCAGAGGACCACTTAAGGGAGTGACAAGTTACTGGCAGCTTTTGAGCTAGTGCTGGTGACAGCATCTGTATGCTCACTGAACTTCATCAAGACTATGAACAGCGGGAATAGTAATGAGCAGATCTGACAAACAATCTCATATGGCAGATTCCATCTAAAGATAAGTGTGACACAGGTGTTTCAAGATAACAGTCACGTTTCAAGCTGAACTGTTCCACTTCTGAAAATGCAAAACCAATTATTCATCTGTATGGCCTTAGGTTTGTTGAAAGAAATTAGACTCATTTCTGAGTCAAGTGAGGACACAGCAGCAGGGAGAGGTCCTTGTCTAGTCAAAATCACAGAAGGAAGACGCCTGCATTTGAGTTCCAGTTAAGCTGCAGATTTTTAAACCATATTTTCCCGTGCTTATCATACATCCCTAAGGGTGTATGATATCCACAGGGGGAAGGAATATGAACTCTGCAATGGGTCAAACTGGAAAAAGAGTTAACATAAAAGAGTTTCCTTTTGACAGGGAACATTGTTAATAGACACTGACATTGTTAATAGACATTGTTAAGCAGGCAATCAAGGATACAAAGACGTGCTTCCTAATATAAAGTCAGAACCAGGAAGAAATAGTAGAGAAACTATCTTCTATTTCCTAACCTTTCACCAACACCACCAAGATATGAACACTGGTGTACAACCTTCTGCTGTTACAGTTCTTCTAGCGCACGTAACTCAGACTAATGTGGAAAAGAAAGGTCATGAGAAACACACTCAGCATTCATATATGACTGTGTATCCAAAATAACTCTTTTCTTGGGATATCAGCCTAGCTTTTTCCCTTGTCTGAGCAGATGAAAAAAAACAGGAACAGGATACACAGAAGAGAAACTAAGGAAGTAATTAAAGACAACCCCATTTTACAAGACAAGTCAAATTACTACAAAATATCATACCTTAAAAGTAACATCTCTAATTTGCAACAACTTCAGAATGATCTGAGCCACAGTGATCAGAAGTTCAGAAGTTAGCTTTGCTCATTAAAAAGCAGATGAGCAAATACTTAATCTCTGTTTTGCCTGAGAGCTAAAGACAGGAGTGCTAATACAGCAGTAAAGTACACACACAACAGCTACTTCTTTCATTGCCCAGGAATTACATGATAAAGACACCACGGGCCTGTTTGAGCTCTTTAAGACACGTGGAACCGCAGTAGATCCACACTGATACCAGAAAACAAAGAGACTGTGGTGATGTCAGTATGATTTTATGGTACCTATGCAACACTATGTCCCCAGTATTTAATTGTCTCCTGGCTCTCACCATGGTCAGAAACTGCAGTAGTGGCAGAACGTACAGAAGAAAGTATAGAACAAGGTCAGCATCTCAAAGCGCAGAGGGACCTCAGCAACAAAACACAGATTTTCCCAGAGAATCTTCTTTGGCATTTCTTCAGTGTTTTACACTCAACACTGTACTGAGACACTGCTTCAGTGAGCAAGAACCATTCTCCAGGTGAAATAACTTCCTCATTTCTAACTCATGACTCTTAAACATTTATGTGGCATTACAGAACAAGAAAAAATATATTACCTATGCTTTATGCCACTGAAAAATTGTTTTGTGTTTGCCAGGAGCAAGCAGTTAATTTTCAATATGATATACATTTTCAATGCAACAAAAAGTCAATAGAGAAAAGAAGTTATTAAAATTGCACCCTGTTCGAACTCCATGTAAACAATACTTGCTCAGCAGTGCATAATGAATACAATTAATTTTCTCAGGGTTGAGGATTTTTTTTCTAGGAAATTCACAGTTGGGAGAAAATTTTGACTTGATATTTGTTTTAAAACTCTGGCTCTTCTATTTGAAATCTATTTTTTTAAGTATAATAATTTGCAATGCAGAAAGACAATAAACCTGTGCTAAACACCTCTGCTATGAAAAGCTCTGTGATCACGGATTTGCCTATTCAATTACAACACTCTATTAACTTCAGTTGTACACCACAGTTTGAGAAGAATTAGAGGGTTGTTCTTTTTTTGAAAGAAAGCAATTGCCCCCTCTAACAGTTTACTACTTTCTTTGAAGAACATCCTTTATTTTTCATTTCTTTTGTTTGCAAACATCTGGTTTAGATGCTGTTAAAAGCAATGGACATTTTTGTTGCTCAAATTAGTTAATATGACAATTAATTCCTACTCTGAAACAAGTCCTGTTTCGCGAGTCAGATTTACATAAAAGTGTTGAGACTTTCACAGTGTGTTTAATCAGATATAGACAGTGACACAACACACACTTGACAGCAACAGCTTCAAAGACCTTCAAATTCCTCTACATCAAATAACATCTGAGGATGAGCAACATACTCAGCCTACAGAGAAACAGTAAATATACATTTTAGCTATTAAAATTTAAATTATTATCTTTCAAAAAGGCATCTTCATAACCCCATAATCAAATGGCTCCTACCAACAGAAATATTTCCATGTCTAGAAAAGTATTCTAAACAGCCTCAGAATTGGATATTTATGGAAATAAGATGACTGTTGGACTGTCATTTTGTTTTCCTGTTAGGCACACTCTTTCTGAAGTTACAAGTGCAAGAATTTTCTGTTGCAACGATGTAGAATTTTGCTACCAGTTGTGACAGATAAGCCTACATTTCTAGTCTCACTCAAAAGAACTGAAGAACACCACCAAATATGTTGAAAACAATACACAATAACTACACCAGTCTTGCCTAATTGTGAATATATAGAAATAATCCAAGATCACATCAGATCAGTAGTGCAAGAACACATGAATGATCCTGAAGTGAAATTCAGACTCAAACTTCTATATATTATTAAGCATTCCGAAAACTTCAGTTTGTTCTGATACCAAAATCTATGTATCTTTAATTATGATGACAACGATCAGATAGTCACAGCTGCATTATTTTTAATCCATTGTTTACGATTCATAGTAAAAACGAAACACTGAACAGGAGTGTAGTCTGTCAAGCTGAGTCCCTCTCAAGCTCATACAGCCTGTGCTGCAATTTGTTCTACAAAATTTTCTTAACTATTAGTTATCACTGCAAGATGGATTAAAGTGAGGGGAGTATGCCTACTCACAGTATTCTTTCACCATGTGGCTAAGTAAATATGGTATTTAATGATAGTTTTTGTAACATGCAAAAGGACACAACAGATGCTGCAGTATTTGAAAGATGCCCAATGAATCTGTCTTCACTAAAATGGACATAACCTGCTAATTTCCAGTCTGGCAGAATATTACAGCATCAAAAATAATTGTAAAAAGAAGGAACCAAATAAAGAATTGTAGGGTTCTCTTCAAACTCTCCAGTATATACAGAAGTTTCTTGAAAACAACAAAGGGATGACCCTCAGGATCTAAGTTACCATCCCCGACTGCTAACATCATGTGAAACTGAAACAAAACTAATCTGGGGGATTTTAGGTGTTAACAGGCCTTTTAGCTACAGTACTATCCAACAGGGTATTTTTACACTAAAATAGAAATAATATATATTGTTTCAACTTAAAATGTGATCCATTATAGGATTATCTCCTACTGTCTTAGTTGATATCTGTGAGAGGTCACTGTCCTGTGATACTACAAATCATTTTCTTGTAACAATCAGACTTGTTTCTCCCAATTATATAAGGGTATAATTAGCTTTCAGATACTTAAAATTACAAAACCACTGCACAAAGTGGGCACATACCCCTCTTGTCAGACTGACAGAACTAGCAGCAGTAATTATAGTGCAAATAAAAAGATACTCTGCTTTGGGGGTTGCCTCTCTTCCTCTCCCCCTCCCCCCCCCCTTTTTTTTTACTCACTTTCTTAATAAAATCAGGAATCTCCTTTTTGTCTGAAAGTTGGTTTAAAGAGGAGCAGCACTCCACCTCCAAGATATATCCTTCACTATGGATGTCACCTTTTGAAGACCTACAGAGGCAGATAGAAAAAAAAAGAATCAGTTTCTGTTGTAAAGATTGGACACCAAGACGTTCCCTTTTTAAGTATTTCTCATGGACAGATAACCTTCAGACAAAACTTCAGTTCCAATTCATTCACTCCATTCAGCTCCACACAGTTCTGACAAGTGGCAGCTACAGCATCTCACCTGCTTGCTAGGTAAGGAAATCATACTAATAACTGTGGATGGTGGAATGCCTCAGGGACTTTCAAATTTCTTAATCTGTCCAAGAAACACTCTGTCAGCCTGGCATCTATGGCCAATGCCAAGGAAATGTCCAGATGAGGTAACTCAGAATAGTCAGAAAGCAGGCTCCAATGCAGCAGGCTGACAGATGCTCTGGACCCCAAAGGGCAGCCTGATGTAGGATGTGTTTCACAGACAGTAATTAAAGGAATCCCTGCTCTTATCTGCCACCATTCCAAGTCAACATTTAAAAACCAGTGGCTAACTAAAGTAATCTATTCTTCACTCTTACCTTACGCTTTGTTGTTGACAAAAGTAAAGCTATGTCTCTTTCAGAAGACACTAACTCCTAAAATAATTCAAAGTGTATGGCATCTGCCATATACAATTTGAAATTGTATATACATATATACAGATATACAATGCAGAACGGATACATATATATAGAGAGACAATGCAGAACAAATCAGTACTATGGAAATATGGTATCAGTCAAAATATGCCAAGGGGAAGTTTGGAAGTTATTCTGAACTATCTTAACAAACTGTCCATAGGCATGCAGTGTAAGGCAGTGCTACTGAAGACAGTTTTTATCTCCTTTATCTCATATTTTTTGAAAGAAAACTTACATGCCTGATCAACAGAGAAAACCTAGAGAATCATTTATCAGTTCTTTAGGAGAACACATTGAGGAATGTAGAAAAATGAAAGCTATCATATGATTATTGGGATTAGTTACAAAGTAGTTATCTTAACATCCCATATGGAGAATCCAAAGATCTAGTTTGAAGTACAGAACTAATCCTGGCCAGCATTCATGTGATGCAGTGGGTACCTACTGGGCAGGAAGAAAGATGCAGAAGCATGAACCAAGAGTGCTGAGGAAGCAAGGCTTCCTAAAATAACAAGAGGGCTTTGCAGGTTTGCCATGCTAGCAAAAGCAAGTCTGTGTAGAAGCCCTGTTCTGGGGATTGAGAATGGGTGACATGTAAAGCATGCTTCAGCTACAGATGGTCCCAGGGGCTTTCCCGAGATGCTAACAGCTCCTCAGAGCCACGAGATGCGTAGGCTGCCGAATGTAAACTGGCAGTGTGTTTCCTAGGCAATGCTGCAGAAACTTTCTGACATACCACATTATATGGTATTTTGTACTTGATCCTCCCACTTTCATAGGGGCTGCACTCTCACTTCCTTTCTCTTATCTCACTTACACATAGGACAGGCAGTACCAGACTGTGAATTGTTTGGGAACACTCAAGTCTTTTCCCTACTTGTTTTTTCCCTCCTTCCTCATAAGGAGTGGTTCTCACAACTTGTGGTCCTGTTCTGTTCTTGATTCTTGACAGAAAATAGAACACTGCTGGAAACTCTCAAAACATCTTCAAAGGATTTACAAAAATCATTACAGGGGGACTTGAAAGTTTTTCATCACTACTTCTCTGAAACACACATAGAGAAATTAATTTAAGCAGCAAAGAACAACTTTGTCAAGAAAGCAAACACACAAAACAACAAAAAAACCCACCCAATTTTTGTGAGGGGAGCACGTGAACTGCAGACAACCATTTTTGCTGTTCTAGATAGTCTAGAACAAGAGTAGGTAAGTCTATGTAATTTATTCTGTGCAGATTTTCTGCCACAGATGAACTCCATGAATTCAAGAACATAATAATACACTTTAAAAAGTCTAATGTACTTACTGCTCTACCTACATTTTTTTCTAAAATCTATATATGACCAACTGGAAACGTAGCCCTGATGTTATCTAGCCACAATAGAATGATGGAAATATAGAAATAAATAAGTATGAGCTGGGGCTCTCTAATGCTCTAGCAGTCAATACAACAGCAAAACTGCTACTGGATATTGTAATGCGAAGTCCATACAACATCAAATTCTCCAGTGCTTCAGTGGTTTTAAAGCTCCAAACCAGAAGTGGGTTACCAGGTACAGGCAGCAATGGAATAAGCCCTTTTTAGACAACCAATCCCAACTCGGGGGAACACCACCAAACCTCTACAAACATGAGAACCAAACGCCTCCCCCATTTCCCTTGCTGGAACAACCCACTGCAATCATCACAGCCCCCTTCCAGCCCAGATGAGGAAGCCATACAGCTCAAATTCAAAGCTAAGTTATCAAATCCTAGAAATTAAGTATGTGCCATGCTACTTCTGTGCCCACTCTTTTTTCCAAAGCCTGTTCCTTACACTGTGATCAGGTTTCCATGCAAACTGTGGCACTGATGTAACAGTGATGCTTGCTGTGACAAATGTGAAAAATCACAATTCCAATTGTGCCAAAAGAATGAGGAGTTACATGTTTAAACCCACTGGCTATCTGTAAAACAAATTATTTTCAACCTATATTGGTGAGGTTTATACACAGGTATAAGGAAGAGAGAAGTTTGCCCTTGAACCACCCTCGCCTATTTCCTCTCATCCCCCTCAACTCCTTGGACTCTGATTTTGTGCAGTTTCTGGAGGACTTACTTCCAAGTTCTTTGAAAAGAGTAGGAGTTATCTGAGATGCAGATTATATCCATAAAAATATAGTGATTCTTACTGCTTAAAATGACCCGTTTATTTTTCCCACTTTAACAAGCACTTATGTTGAAATACATTTGCTGCTTGTAAATATTTAAGTGAACAGGAGGCAGTGAATTCTTCTCTTAACAGTCTGGGCACTGCCTCTGCTCTAGGACTCATGAAAGAAACTGTATCAAATACCACTGCACTCTGTTAGGAGCATTATTTTACAGAACACACATAACAGAATTTACTGAAGGCCATAAAATCTTTAGTTTAAAATCTTCCAACAGAACTACTGTATACTACCAACAAGCATTTTTCCATGCTTTCAAGTAAAGTATGTGCATAGACGTTAAAAGTGAGTCTTTGACTGTACCTTTTCAGGCAAAATTTAAGAACATATTATTCTGTCAGAGACAAACAAAACAAAAGCCATAGCTGCTTACATGAAAATAATAAATAGCTGTGGCTGTCACAGACCACAGAAATAATTTCCTGAGCAAATCCAGGTGGGCAAGAAATTCTTCCCAGCCTCTATATAATAAACAATGCATTTCTTCTAGGAATCACAAAGTATTTAATAACTATCACAAAAGACTCTCATTATGCTCTTTATATATTATTACTATAGCTGTAGAGAAGTAGCTAAATATAGGACAGGTAAATCCTGTACTGAACAGTAATTATACTTTCAGTTTTATTAATGTAATGGGACTACTTTTAGGATCACTTTCATTGGACTATGAATTAGGAGCCCCAAAATAAGCACATCCGCCAACATCACAGAAGTCAGAGGAAAAGTCAAAAGCAGAGCTCAAGTCTCCAGACTTCAGCCTTGTCCCGGGGAGTACATACCCCTGTTCTCTTTTGAAAAAGGACTGATGTCAGTCATTTGAGAAATAACTCTGAAAGAAGCACACCCTGACATAGTAGTGCTGTACTCTTCTTGGCAACTAAGATAAACTGGAGAAGCTGGTACAACCCGACTCATTACATTGCTTGTTAGTACTCTCTATAGTGAGTGTGGTATTTTGTGATACCTGAGAGGGAACAGAAGGGACAGTGCAAACAACACCAACACTTTACCTGCAGTGGGGAAGGGCAGTCTCCTGGCACCACCCCAGGAGAGAACAACCAGTGGTTAATCATGAAGACGGCCAGAAAACTCCACTGCATCTTGTACACCCTAGGCTTCTATTTGTTTTGTTTCCTTTGTTATGTATCTCACTGCTTGTTTATCTATTTTCCCGAAGAAGGGATTTTTCTGTCACTGTGGGTAACCTTCGTGACCACCATGGACAACCTTAAACACGGGGTGGCAATGAGCTGACAAGAGAATTTCAGGCTACTGGTGCTGTGCAGAGGGACAGCATTCACAGGGGTAGAGGTTACCCACAAGTGTCACTGATACAGAAAAGGCTACGGACCACAGACTTAAAAAGAGTGTCATCCTGAATCCTAAATAGGACTTCTAGTGCCACTAAAGAAGAAAATACATAGAATAAATAAGATTTTCAGCTATAATTGGAAGTTCACTGGCCAAAACTATTTCATGATGGCTGTTCCAGTAGGCTGCCATTTCCTCCACAGCTGTTTGGAGTTAAGCACCATGTCATGGTAGATAAACCATAACCAGCTGTAGAGTACCAGTAACTTACACAGTGACTATTAAAGCTGACAATTCAGTGTCTGTTACAAACGGGATTTCCAATCCTCTTCAAACACAAGAAGGAAATGAGCAACCCAATATTTGGTCCTAATCCTCCTTTAGTTCTCCATGCCCGTAAATTTGGCAAGCCACTTGTAAGCACTTGTAAGCAATCTGACACACTTGTAAGCTGCACAAACACTAAAACTGCTATTTAAGATGATGCTAGGAATATAAGTGCAGTTTTGAGATCTTTTGACTGCACAGGAATAGCTCCACAGTTCAAAATATAACTGTACATTTATAACAAGCTGATCTACATTACAAAACAATTAAAACCACATCAAGGTGATTATCATGAGCAGTTGGTATCTGTGGAACTCTGGGTCAAAAATCTAGCAAAACTAGAGTATTTGAAAACCAAGGTGGCAGCAATTACAAACCCATCGGATTTTGTATGAACTTTTTTTAATGACAGCATATAGAGTTTCTTGAGAAAAGTTGAGGTATGTATGCATACATAAGCATCTTTAATGTGCAGTGTTTATCATTTTGAGAACACAGATGAAAGAACATTTATTTTGGGTCAGTGTTAAAAGTTGTG